GGGGGGGAGTGATAGAGCGACTTGGTGGATACTTGGCATTTAGCCAAAGTCAAACCATCACAATACTATACTAAAGGAGGTTGCAGAGAGCTGGGGATGAGCCACTTTAACAAGTAATGTGATAGGACAAGAGGGAATGGCCTCAAGGTGCACCAGATAAGGTTTAGACTGGATATTAGGAAGCATTTCTTTCCAGAAGGGGTTGTTGGGCGTTGGAATGGGCTGCCCAGGGCAGTCGTGGAGTCCCCATCCCTGGAGGCACTTAAGAGTCGGGCTGACATAGCACTGAGGGCTATGGTATAGTTGGGAGCTGTTAGTGCTAGGCTAACAGTTGGGCCAGATGATCTTCAAAGGTCATTTCCAACCTAGACGCTTCTGTGATTCTGTGATACTATCACCTGCCTGTGACAGGCCTCAGTTGTCTCCAGGAAGCCCACATAATTACTTAGCTTCTATCAGCTTTTGCAGGTAGTTTTGCTAGAGCAAGGAGTTTTTTCTTTTTTTCCAAAAATAAGCAGAGCATTTCGTGTTCAGAAATACTGCCGCTAGTTGTCAAGGCCTTTGCAAACACTTACTGTTAAGCACGGACATTCATTCTTCAGTGTAATGTCACACATGGTAAACAAATCCAGTCTCACAGAAATACAAAACAGAGACATGCCTCCAGTCCCAACAAGTATTGCTTATGCAAAATAAAGAAACTCTGGCGTTTGGGGCTCACTGGTGCCCTCGCAATCACAGAGGCAGTGATTACCATTCTGTGTATTTTTCCAAGTTCTGAAGTGCAGTCATGCTTGTTTTACATTGACCAAATACCTTGAAGTGCAAATTTTCCAAAATAACAAAATATAAGAGGAATCTGGCTCATATGTTTACTAAGTACTAGGTTTGCCTTTTGAAAGAAAAGACAAAGAACAGAGGAGACTGTTACTTCTCAGCTGCTAAGTGAAACAGCACTCAACAGTAATTCTTCTGTGTAACTTCCTCTGCCCTCTCCAGCCTCAGTCGGACGTAGAGACAATCTTGTTCCAGGCATCCCATAAACACTGACTGAGGTGACACTCTCATTTATGGACTCAGCAGCCCAAATTGGGTGGTTAAGGAAGGAGCCTTCATTTTATCTATAAGGAATTCACTGGTAACAAGTCGTGTGAGAGGCAGACAGAGAAAATGTGCTTAAAGATGGTGAGTGCCTTATTTTATGGGATAAACTCTAGGGTTTATAAACTAACAGCTTGGCCACAAATTGCTTTCCCCAAGCCACAAATGACGGATGGATTCAGTTCCAATCATGAAATTACCAACACAGAAGCAAACAACAGTCAACTACACTACTTGCCACATAGTATAAAGAAAACATCAACAACAGTAATTAATGTACAGAGTACTGTTTATCCTAGCAATGCTAGAAGGCCTTTGCAAACTTCAGAGATCATTTTATGGCAACCACCCTCAGGGAAAACGGCCTGGGCCAGAAAGAACAAGTGAGATGGGTTACTCTTACTCACCACAAACCAACTCTTCAACCATAAGTAGCAGGTCTAAAGACCTAGCGTAAGGCAGGAAAAACTTACTGACAGCCTTTCAGGTGTAGCATATGTAACAGTTCCTCACCTAGTCTCTTCCTGGGTAAAGAACTGGTCCAGTGCTGCTGTCTGGTACTTACACCTCCTCTAGCAAATGGAAACACTACGCAGAATCCAAAAGTTAGAATTTCCTTTTGTCTTAGCAATATATAAGAACGTATTTTAGTAACCTCAAAGGTTTGGCCCAAATTTGATTACACACTCTTCCTTTTTATCTGCTGCTGCTTCTTCTTCACTAAAGCAAAGCAAACATGCAAAATTTCTGCCCAAAGAAAATGACTTCTCTGTGATTTATTATTAGAATATAAAAAAGATATAAAGAACATATCTAAACAACATGCCAATCTTACTCTGATTAACTCTCTCCAAATTTACCAAAACTTTGTAATTCAAAACCAGGGTCTCCATATGCTAGCCTCTAAATTACCTCGCAGACAGATGGACAAGTATAAAAGCAGAATCAGTCACATCAATGTGGTAAGATGACTGAACAAGACTTAGGTTATTACCAATTGCAGCAGTTCACTTACCCTATAGTAGTCTGTGCTGTACACATCTCTAGACATCCCAAAATCCCCAATCTTCACAAGTAGGTTCTCACCAACCAGACAATTCCTGGTAGCAAGATCCCGATGAACAAAGTGCTGTGATGCCAGGTAAACCATACCAGCTGCAATCTGCTGAGCAATGTGAAGCATCTGGGATTGGGTCAGCTCAGCAGGACGGTTGCCTTCTGCCATCAGTACTGCATCTGGTCCGTGTGCCCTGCACCAAAGTACAAGCTGATTAAGTGATAGGCCACTTGTAAACTGGAGAGTAAAAGACTTTAGTGAGCCTAAAACCACACAACTGACTTGCTCAATCATAGTAACAAAAAGGGATACAAATTCATTGGTGCATCTTAGCTTTTTCCATTTACCGTTTTTCATAACTGTGTGTGCTTTTTGTCAAGTAGTGTGAAGAGCATTACACAACTGGTGATATATTTCTCATGGAAATAAGGCACATGAGTTCATAACAATGCCCTTCTGTCTGAAACCACCACATTTTTCCTGTTCCATTATACTGATCTTTTCTGAAAAAAAGCTGGTAAATGTAGCTGTTTGGTAACTGAGAGAAAACTCTGTAAGAATGAAAGGCAATAGAGAGAAAGGCTATGAAGTGACATGTAGAACAACATTTTTCCTATGACTGGCATTCCTTGATTTGTACAGAGAGACAGGCCATTGACCCTTCCATCATTTCTTAAAGAAGATAGAGCTTCCTTCTGAGATGCCATCTGAGAAACAAGGGCAGCAATTTAGATTTGCACTTCTGATTTCCTATCCAAATGCACAGCAGGAAACCATTTTTGCTTATTTCATCATTAGTGGTGAGTCCTGCCTGAGATGGGAATTTTTAACAGTAGGAATAAGACACAAAACACACACTATTTGGAACTACTAAACAGCTTCAGAAACACAAGCTTCAAGACCAAGCAAGTCCCTAAGATGCAATAATCAATGGATTAATGAAAAACCTGTATACTCTGCAGCAGAAGGAGAGCCATTTTGCATTTGCAAACCCCAGCAAAGTAGTAGAACACATATGCTTCACCCATCTTAACTACGTTAGCTCTGGTATACATGTGTAACATCCTAGTATCTTGAAGATATAAACATTCCTACACACAACATTTTATAGTAAGCATTACTAGCTAATCCTTAGCCAATTAATGAGGTCATCTGGCAATCATTCCTCAGTTTTTATACCTTATAATATTCTGAATATCGCTTTCCAACCATTCCATTATTCTGCATTTTCAGGAGCCTTTTTTATTCCATTCCTGCAGACTATTCTTTCTAAGAGGCTACCTCTCCTCTTTCCTCCTCATTTTTTTTTAATACTCTAGAACTGATTTTTGTTTTCTCTCAAAAGTTCTTCCTTCCTACAAAGAGGGGTTTCAGAGAATCACCTTTCCAATACACAGAGATGAGGCCTTAATTTGTCCCTAGGGGAAGAGCACAGGAGTTTGGAAAAGGGTTGCAAATTGATCAAAGTCTGTGAGATCAAATCTGACACTACCTATTAGAATTATGATATTAAAATTGCCCCAAGGGAAGAACTTCATGAGCAAAGTGACAGATGTGAGAAAGAAATGAAGGAGGGTGTGTAGCATTGCTGGGACTGCATCTGGTACCAGGCAAAGAAGCTGTCTGCCACAGGGTACACACAGATAGCCATTCAGCTGGTCTGGGTTGGGGTGGGGGGAATCAGTTGGAGGATATGAAGTCTCCAACAAAGACTCACAGGCAAATTTCTATTGACAAGCACTGTATCTTTTCACTGCATGTTTTTTTTTAAATGACTGCTCTTGGACATGAAGCTCTGAGTTGCTAAATTAGTGAACTTCATTTTTCACTAGCTTCCTTGAGGACATGGTCTGTACCTAATTAAACTTTTGGATTACTCTTAATGCTCTATCCACTCTGCTTGTCCTCTTGGTGCTGGCTGTAAATGAGGTGCTCCTCACCATGTGCAACGGCCAGGAACACTGACAGAGATATCCTTGGATCCACACCAGCATCTACTAGCCAGAATAAGCACAGGTTAGGTATGACTTTAGGGCTTTAGTCCTAGATCTGAAATAGCCTTTGGCTGCAGGCAGAAGGCAAGGCTCATTTGGGTTAAATTTCAGATTCATTTTTCCCCGACAGCCTTTGGTGGCGCTGCAGGGTAAGAAATACCGCCTCGGAAACAGTCTGCTTACAGCCTCTGTTCTGCAGCAAAAGCTGCAGTAAACGTGAGAGGAATGACAAATTGGAGCTAAGGTTTAACAGCTTGTCCTAGCACAATCATTTTATGTTCTAAAGACAAAGGCTGATTAATTAAACAAAAAGGACCTAAAGTAGGAAATACGCTCTCTGCTAAACTACTTTTCTGTACAATAACTCAAAATCAGAGTTATGAGTCAAGAAAAGGCCAAAAAGAATCAGAGAATAAGGATTTCTTGAGAAATAAATTATTTCTTATTAGCTGCAAATCTGGCTTCTTCTAAAAAGTACTGGGATGGCATCTTAGGAAACTGCAGTTCTCTCCTGATTCATGGCAGAGGTTCAAGGAGGCCAATGTAAGCGACCTGACATAGCTCTGACAATATACTTGCCAGAGACACAATCAGTGTGGGAAAAGTAGTAGCGTTTGCTCTGTATCCTCAGTTCAGACCCAGGTCTCCCTGCCCTACCTGGCAGCCATGGCAAAAAGGAATCATGCTAGTTGATGTCATTTGCTTTTATGGTGTGGCTATTTGTTCAGATATTAGAAAGACAGCAAACTCATTTCACATAGGCTATCAAAACTGCATAAATGGCAACACTAGCAGTCACTAGCCATTTCAGTCAAATAGACAATCTGAATCCATTTACAAGGGACATCGGTTTTGATTGTTTTACAGCTTTGCCACAGATACCTTTCCAAAATGGCATTACCCCTATTTATGTTTAGCAGGAGTGATCTCAGTACACTGAAATGTCTTTGTGATATCCTTTGATGAAAATGACCATAGAAGACCTTGAAAGAACAGTCCCTTATGCAAATGTTTTTGGGTTTTTTTACATAGCAGAAAAAGCTGTCTCTTAACTGCTTATTTTTATGACAACGAGAGCAGGCTAGTGGAAATGGCATATACACAAGGCCACTGTTCATAACTCCTGGTTCATGATTACCTATTATTGTGAACCTTAAGTACCATCTATATATTTATGACTGCTTTACTGCCAAATTTCAATTTCTAATGCACGTTTCTGAACAGCTTTATGAAATACAGCCCTAATCCAGAACCCAAGATGTGGCATTTTCCATTGCACTGAAGTTTCCATGCCTCAACAGTTTTCTTGCTTCAGATTACTGTCAGTCTTTCCAAAACACTGAGAGGAGGGAAGAGGAAAGGGGTTAGATCTCAAAAGCTCTTAGACGCCTACAGAGAGTGATAGGTGTTGAGTGGGATCTTCCCAAGTGATACCAGAAAGCCTACAAGAAAATGATTCCTACTGTAAGATTTATCATCAAACATTTCAGAATACACTGAAATACTGGAAACAATATTTCTTTGGTTCCCATTCTTGTGGTGCAAAGCATGAGACTTGACTTAATGGTACTTCCAAATAGGCAAAGAAACAATGAGCCTCACATCCCAGTACGGAAAACAAAAGTTGCACAGATTTGCTCTTTTAGGTGTTGGCATTTTCCAGTGGTAGTAGTTAATTTGACATTATCAGTAACACCTACCTTCTCTGCCCACTTCTGGCTCAGCAGTAAAATATGTGCTTGTGGATTTACCTGAGGAATTTGTTAAGATCTCCATGCTTCATATACTCAAAGACCATGATGAGCGGATCACCCTCAACACAGACACCATAGAACTTGACAATGTGCTCATGTTGCAGGTTAGTTAGCAGCTCTGCCTCGCGATGGAAGTCCTTGCGGGCATTGTCACTGGCATCCTTCAGTGTCTGGTATAGAAAACAAAAATCTAAGCAAGGGGAAATGTTTGCAAAAGGTAGTGAACATGTGGGATGGCACTGTATGGGTAAGATAAGGACAGTCTACTGCATAAAGGATAAAAGAAGTACATTCTTAATAACTCTTTTCAAAATGTAGATGTGATGTTTAAGTGCAATTAAATAATGGCAGTACAATGTTCATTCTCCTGCCACACGTCATCCCAAACAACGATTCACCTTGTAAGAGGATGTAAGAATTCTCTTGATCTTACTGTGCCAATTGTTTTCCAAAAAAAGAACAGATAAACTGATCACATCCAAAAAATACACTGGTAACAACTAGTTCCTATCTTTTATCATTGAATTCAGGCAAATCCTAGTATTCTGTTGGTATTTACCTTTCTTGTGAATTCTTTAAAATAAAACTCTGCTTGCTTACAATACTTAGTGAGAACATAGATGTATTCTTTACCTATTAATAATGTTGCTGTTGTTGATGTTAGCCCCTATGGTGTGCTACATATTAGGTAGATCTATGCAAGGGTACGTCCTTGGACCAGAACATACAACCTGAGACTTCAGCCAGAGATTATGAAATTCATGCCTAAGATTAAGCATATGTATAAGTAACTGGAGGATCAAGCCTGAATTGATAGACAGAGAAGCACATGCAGACCAGAATTCCAGGGTGTCAATTTTTCTCACACCCTTTTATTTATACAGTTCTAAAACCTTGCATATTTTCATTCTGAAGGAAATATTTCAATACTGGATCAAATAGAAGGCTTAACTGGATAATGAAATACTGCTAATTTAACTGCGACACAGGTAGTTTCAGATTTCTTCTTAAGAGATACACTTCCTGAGCAAGAAAGCACTTTCATGCACCAAAAAAATAAGAAAATCCTGACACCAGTTAAATTAGGAGTAATTAAAATTTATAATAAACCACTACTATGCTCTATCTTCAATAGGTACAGTGGTTGCAGTATACTAAGTCAAACAGTATTTTTAAAACAATAAGAGAAAGACATCAGGTTGCCGATGTTCACAAATTATTATTCATGGAAACTTATCTGGGCTCTATAACTCTGGACTTTAACTACCCCTAGACTTAATGCAAAGCAAGATAAAACACAAAAGTAGTGGCATTATTTCAGTTAAAGATGCTGTTTCTTGGCCATCAAATCACTTTATTTTCTACCCTGAACTCATATATAGAGCATGGGACCAACCACACTCATTAGAACACACAGAGAACAAGCTCACATTGTGAAATGATTCTGTCAACAAACCCATGTTTTAGCTGCAGTAGTAACGGTTTGTTAAAGTTTTTTCTTTCTGTCCACTTTTCTAGTATTATAGATATGTGTGAAGAAGTGACTAAAAAGATGACTGTCGGAGAAAACAGGTGCTTTACTTGTGAAACACAGAATCATCTAGGTTGAAAAAGACCTTGAAGATCACCTAGTCCAACCATTAACCTCACACTGACCATTCTCAAATACACCATATCCCTCAGCGCTATGTCGACCCAACTCTTAAACACCTCCAGGGATGGGGACTCCACCACCTCCCTCGGCAGCCGTTCTGGAAAGAAATGCTTCCTAATATCTAGTCTGAACTTTCCTTGGTGCAACTTGAGGCCATTCCCTCTTGTCCTGTTCTTTCTACTAGGCTAAAGAGGCTCAAACCCAGCTCTCTGCAGCTTCCTTTCAGGTAGTTGTAGAGGGTGATGAGGTCTCCCCTCAGCCTCCTCTTCTCCAGACTAAACACCTCCAGTTCCCTGAGCCGCTCCTCGTACAACCTGTGCTCCAGACCCTTGACCAGCTTTGTAGCCCTTCTCTGGACATGTTTGAGTAACTCTATGTCCTTTTTGTAGTGAGGGGCCCAAAACTGAACACAGGAATCAAGGTGCACGTTCACCAGCGCCAAGTACCCTGCTGGCCACATTAATCCTGACACAAGCCAGGATGCCATTGGCATTCTTGGCCACCTGGGCACACTGCTGGCTCCTGTTCAGCCGGCTGTCAATCAACACCCCCAGGTCCCTCTCTGACTGGCAGCTCTCCAGCCACTCCTCCCCAAGCCTGTAGCGCTGCTGGGGGTTGTTGTGGCCCAAGGGCGGCCCCCAGCATTTCCCCTTATGGAAACTCCTCCAGTTGGGCTCAGCCCATGGCTCCAGCCTGTCCAGGTCTCTCTGCAGAGCCTCCCTACCCTCGAGCACATCAACACTCCCACCCAACTTGGGGTCATCTGCAAACTGACTGAGGGTGCACTCGATCCCCTCGTCTAGATCATCAATAAAGATGTTAAACAGGAGCGGCCCCAAAACCGAGCCCTGGGTGACAGCACTCATGACTGGCCACCAACTGGATTTAACTCCATTCACCACAACTCTTTGGGCCCAGCCATCCAGACAGTTTTTTACCCAGTAAAGCGTGTGATCATCCAAGCCATGAGCAGTCAGTTTTATCAGAAGAATGCTGTGGGAAACGGTGTCAAAGGCTTTACCAAAGTGAAGGAAAACAACATCCACAGCCTTTCCCTCATACAATAAGCAGGTTGCCCTGTTGTAGAAGGAGATCAGGTTTGTCAGGCAGGACCTGCCTTTCATAACCCCATGCTGACTGGGCCTGAGCATCTGGTTGTCCCACATGTGTTGTGTGATGTTACTCAGGATGAGCTGCTCCATCAGCTTCCCAGGCACTGAAGTCAAGCTGACAGGCCTGTAATTTCCCAGATCATCCTTCCGACCCTTCTTATATATGAGCGTCACATTGGCCAATTTCCAATCTGTCAGGACCTCCCTGGTCAGCCAGGACTGCTGGTAAATGATGGAAAGCGGCTTGGCAAGTACCCCAGGCAGCTCCTTCAGCACCCCCAGGTGTATCTTATCCGGTCCCATAGACTTATGTGTCTATGTGATGCAGCAAGTCACCGACTGTCTCCTGGATTGCAGGGGGGTCGTTCTCCCAGTCTCTGTCTTCTGGCTGAGGAGGCTGGATTCCCTCAGTACAGCTAGTCTGGTTATTAAAGACTGAGGCAAAGAAGGCATTAAGCACCTCAGCCTTTTCTTCATCACTCATTACCATGTTTCCTCCTGCGTCCATCAGGGGATGGAGGCTCTCCCTGGTCTTTCTTTTGCTGTTGACATACTTATAGAAACAGTTCTTGTTGTCCTTGATTGCTGAAGCCAGATTAATTTCTATCTGGGCTTTAGACCCCCCGATTTCCACCCTGCATAGCCTCACAGCATCTCTGTAATTATTGTGAGTGGCTAACCCCTTCTTCCAAAGGCTGTAAACTCTCCTTTTCTCCCTGAGTTGCAGCCAAAGCTCCGTTCAACCAGGGTGGTCTTCTCTGCCATCGGTTTCTCTTACAGCACCTGGGGACAGCCTGCCCTGTGCCATTAAGACTTTCTTCTTAAAAGAGTGCCCAGCCTTCCTGGGCCCCTATACCCTTCTGAACCATCTCCGAAGGGAATCTGTCAAGCAGTTACCTAAACAAGTCAAAGTCAGCCCTTTGGAAGTCCAGGATGTCAGTTCTGCTGTCCCCAAACCTGGCCACTCTGAGAAGAGAGAACTCTATTATTTCATGATTGCTGTGCCCTAGTTGTCCTCCAGCCACCACACCCTCCACCAGTCCTTCTCTGTTCACAAATAGATGATCCAGCAGGGCACCTTCTCTGGTCAGTTCACTCACCAGCTGTGTCAGGAAGTTATCTCCTACACATTCCAGGAATCTCCAGGACTGGTCCCACTCTGCTGTGTTGTATTTCCAGCAGATGTCTGGAAAGTTAAAGTCAAGAACAAGAACAAGAACAAGGGCAAGTGATTGAGAGATTTCTCCTAAGTGCCTATATAATATTTAATTCACCTCTCTGTGGCCTGTAGTAGACTCGTACTGCAACATCCTCCCTGTTTGCCTTCCCCCTGATTCTAACACAAAGACACTCCACCCTGTGTTCACTATACTTGTGCTTAAAGCAACCATAACAGCCCCTAACATACAGAGCCACTCCACCATCTCTCATTCCTTGTCTATCCCTTCTAAAGAGCTTGTAGCAGTCAACTGGTGCACTCCAGTCATGGGAGACATCCCACCATGTTTCTGTAATAGCCATGGCATCATAATTTTCCTGTGGCATCGTGGCTTCAAGCTCCTCCTGTTTGTTACCCATGGTGTGTATATTGGTGTACATGCACTTCAGATGGGCTGCTGTCCCCAACACCTTTTCGCATTTAAAGATCCTACGTCCAGCCTGACCTTTCACAGGTGTTACCACAGTTACTGATCCATCAATATCCCTTGAATCTTTGTTGTGCTGCATATCTCAATCTCTTCATCCCTGCCTCCACTGAGATGGCAGGGTGAGGGTTGTCACTGGCACAACAGCCCACAAGCTCTGGTAATCCAACCTGGGGCTTATGTCTGGGAGTTCCAGTTTTGTCTCCCTCCCCCTTCAAATCTAGTTTAAAGCTCTCTCAATGAGCCCAGCTAACTCCTGCCCCAAGATCCTTTTTGCCCTCTGGGACAGGTGCATCTCTGGTCTGGTGTCCTGTATGCTAACCCATGACTGAAAAATCCAAAGCCCTGCTGGTAGCACCAGTCTCAGAGCCACAAGTTCATCTGTTGAGTTGTCCTGTAATCTTCTTCATCCATCCCTGCAACTGAAGGGATGGATGAGAACACAGTCTGTGTTCTCTTCAACCTCTTTACCAGTTTCCCCAAGGCTCTGAAATCTCTCTTCACTGATTTAGGACTTCTCCTGGTAATACCATCACTACTACCTGAAAAACCAAGAGAGGATAGTGCTTAGGTATCACTAGAGTGGGAAGTTTTGCTGTGAGGTCCTTGACCCTTGCCCCAGGGATGCACAGACTTCCCTATGAAAGCAGGTCCGGTCTGCATATTGAGCCTTCGACACCCCTCAGAATGGAGTCACCCACTATGATGACTTTATAGAATTGTTTTTAATATGTGGTCTAGAGTGACTCAGCTTTAGT